TGTGCACAGTGTTTAAAATCTGTCAAGACAAAAATAAATGCAGTAAATTCAACTGAAATCATGTGCCTGATTCAGCACAATCCAATATGTGAATTAGCTGGTTAAGTGCTAAATTGTCATACCCACAATGCTAAAGGTTTTTCCCCCTTAGCCTAACAAGATCAGGTTGCCACATACTTGGCAGCTCTTAGTGGAATGATGGCCGATTTACATGTATGTGTGATCAGGATTAAAAGAAATTAGGAGTGAGAATGGCAATGATGACCCCCTTTAGAGTGATAGAGACAAAGCTGTTCATGTTGATGACATTCTCAAAAGTCACTAGGCCTCATCATTTTTATCATCATCATTTTCCACATTAATCTTAGTGCCCTTGACCCATCATTAGTTCCTGGTTAGTCTAAGGGCCGTGACACACAAACCAAGGGCTGGCCGTTGGTGTGTGTCTGTCAGGGCTTCTTCTTCCTGGTGTGTCCTACACTGTTGGCACTAGTAGGACCCTGTCAGCAGCTTTTCAGATGATATGACATGTTGAACTGGTGTCTGCTTGTTGGACCTCGTCAGTGAAAGAGACCACTCTGATTGGCTGTTGAGCTTAGCGAATCAATGCACTAGAAGAGAATGGTTCTGGAAAGCCCCTTTAGCTTCTCTCCATAGTATCCATAATTTCACCCATTTAGTGCAGTTGCTCCTTGTTTTTCATCTCTGCTGCCTCCTTTCTTCTTCCACAACCAAAAGGCCAAGGGCACAGAATGGCAGTGCCATATGTAACTACTTATCAGACATATTCTCGATTAGAAGCAGCTATAAACAGCAGCTGTGTTAAACAACAGCTGCTTTATTTCCAGCTTTATTTCCACTGTCTGGGTCTTCTTCTTTCCCTTTCTAAATGGCAAATATAGATACTGCCACCTGCCAGTAGGGGGAGTTACTCCTCTCATGTGCTAGGTGACCATTAGCTATAGTCTGTGTGGTGTGTTCAAATGCCACTTTTTCAACCCAACTGGCCCAGACAAAAGCAATGTGAGGCAACGCAACAGTTGGCCTTTGTTGCTGTTCTTTCACGCCGTGTCTCTGTCCTAGCTCTCACTGAGTTAAAAACTGATTTTACTTGCAGTCATTTCA